TGGCACGAGATCCCCGGCCCCAGCAGGCGCTCGGCCGGCTGTAATCCATCCCATCGCTGGTGCAGAGGAGGCAGAGCCTTGGTGGCCAGGGGAGCCGCAGGGGCTGCCTTGAGCCCCTTCATCACATGCCTGGCTTGGCCTCCAGCTCTTCCTGGCCTGGGCAGAGCTGCGAGCAGGCGGGGAGCGCAGGGCAGCAGCGGGACCCCCGTGCCCAGGCCAGGGTGTATTTTGGGATGCAGATGCAGACGAGTCCAGAGGCCTGTGTACATCCCCATGGAAACCCCTCTCTGTTGCTGCTTCTCCAGCCAGGCCCACAGTCAGCTCGGAGGGAGCCAGCAGCTGCAGATTCCTCACTCCTTCCATCAGCAGCTCTGCAGGGCTGCCCTGCTCCGGCCCCCCCCTGCCCAGCAGCCGCAGCCACATCCACCAGCTCACCGCTCCCTCTTGCCCGCCAGCCGGGCTGGGGGTCCTGCTGCCCTACTAGCCAGCACCGCCCTGAGCTTTGAGAGATGCGGACCCTTCACCTGCCCCACAGGATCCTGCGATGGAGCAGCCTCTCCCACCACTCCACAGCCACTGCCTGCCCCTGCCCACTCCAGAGTCTGCCAGGGCTCGGTCCTGCACCTCAAGACCACTGGCCACAGCGTGGGGCAGAGCTCTCGCTGCCCAGGCAGAGGCGGGTGTTCAGAGTGGAAAACCCCCCCGGTGCGGTTCCACAGCCCGGGAGGAAGTTTTCATCCCGGCAGTGGCAGCTGGAGCCCGAAGAAAGTCTTGACATTTCAGAGGAAGGTTTCAAACAAAGCCGTGTTGCTGTGGCAATGGCAGCCGCAGGCCCCCCCGCCCCGTCCCGCGGCTGGGGACACAGCCAAGGCAGAGGGAGCAGCAGCCCAGCACCGGTGGTGCCTGGGCTGCAGGGTGGGCGGACGGCCGTGGGCCACGTCCTGCAGCCCCAGCCCTGCCCCAGTGCTGGGGCCAGAGGGTCCCACTGCCACATGCCACCTGCACCGTCCCCGGGAGGGCCATGCCCAGGGTGGGTGGCGGGTGCCGGCACACAGGCAGACCCCGTCCCACACCCTCCCTGGCATCAGCCCTCTCCCACTCCCCAGCCAGTGGCCCCAGCCTGGGCCCGCACTGCTCTTGCACCTGCATTTGCAGCGAGAGGCAAGGTACCTGCCACTCAGGTACTGCTGGCCATGAGCATGCCGATGGCATGTCATGGGAGGTCCCCACGGGTGCTTCGGGCTGCAGGCTGCCAGCTGCCTTGGGTGTGTTTGCCCAGCACAGTGCAGAGTCCTTGGATGACCCTGGCAGAGCATCCGTGGGCAGGTGCCAAACCCCAGCCCTGGAGCATCTCTTGGCCTTGCATCAGCCCTGGCCTCAGCCCCAGCGCAGGAGCAGGCAGTGGCAATGCCACACACGCAGCTGGGGATGGGGGTCCTGGATGTGGGACCCTGCATCCATAGGGCTGGTGATGCTGCTCCCAGTCCAGCCCTGCCCACCTACCCCCTCCCCACCAGTGCACGATGCCAGGGGGCCCAAAGGTCCCCACAAGCGTGGCGGGCTGTGCCTGTCCCACGGCTCCCGGGGCCCCTCGGCAGAGAGCAGCCCAACCTGCGCCAGCCATGCTGGGGGCGATGGGTGGAGGTGGTGCCATGCTGGGCGAGGTCGGGGCGTGCAGCTGGCAGAGGGCACAGCTGGAGCAGATGTTCCCTAGAAGGACCCAAGGGCCCCGTCTCAGCATTTAACGAGTGGGAATGGGAGCGAGCACTTTACTGTAATTCCAGCAATTACATTGTTCATCCTTGGCAGGCGACACCAGTTGGTGTCCAGCGCCATGGGATCACGATAAGCCACCTGGCACGGAGACTTGGCAGCGCGCCGTGCCGCCGGGCAGCCAGCCAAGGCAGGGCAATAAAGGGCTGCAGAGCGAGGTGCGAGGTACGGTAAGGGCCCGCCCCAGGAGTTCCTGTCACTGGCACGGCCCCAGCGCACAGGTGCCGACTGGGAGGGCCCTGGTGCCTGTGGGTGCCTGCTGAGCCTGCAAGACCAGGGATCCCCAGCCCTGCAGCTCCAGGGAGCGGAGATGCTGCATGGCGGGAGCGGAGGAGATGCTGCATGGCGGGAGCGGAGGAGATGCTGCACGGCGGGGGCCCCTGCGCCCATGCAGACTTGCTGAGGCTGCCGGCAGAAGGATGCTCCAGCCGCCCGAGCGGCAGGGAGGGCTTGGGGCAGCGAGGTGCCGGCAGGCTGGAGGAGACCCCCCACTTGCCGGGTGCAGGAGGGGGCTCGGGGACGGGGCGCAGGCTGCACTCGAGGGCCCATCACCCCTGGTGTCCCCGGGTAACTGGCATCGCACCCAGCCAGCACCTCCCCAGCCCCTGCTTGCCTGTTGCTGCTTCCAGGCAGGCGCTGCCCCCGGGCTCTCTTTCCCTGCATCACCCGCCCGCCCTGGCCCAGTCACCACATCTGCCGGGTGGTCCCCGCCGGTGCCCGGGGCCATGCGGGAGCAAGGGACAGTTGGCACCCAAGGGACGGGAGTGTGAGCCCTGCTGAGTCATCACTTCGCTGTTCTCGTTTTTCCATGGTGCTGTTGTGCAGTTTGCTGGAAGCTAGCTAAGAGCCATGACTAATCTGTTCTCAAAACAAGCACAAAGAGAGCAGGGAGGTTTGTGCAAACCCCGCGGGGAAGAGAGGCTGAATCACAGCGTGGGGCTGGGGGAGGCAAGCAGCCGGGAGCAGCTGGGAATGCGCAGCCACGGAGCAGCCCTGCGGACAGCACCTGCGTGCGGTGGGCACAGCCCTGGGGCTGGGCAGGGGCAGCGAGGACCCCCGACCTCCCCTCCCATCCTCTCCCCATGCGGTGCAGTTGAGCTAGGCAGGGCCGGGGTGCAGGCAGCGTGCCGGGGCGGGGTGAAGCAGGCAGCGCAGGCAGGTGTGGGCCATCAGTGCTCAGAAACACACGTGCAGTCGCCAGGGTCATGCGGTTGCCGCAGGGTCGGGGCTCCCATCCTGGTCATTTCTGCCCTGCAGGGAAGCCACCGGCTGGGGAGGCCAGGGAAGGAAGCGCAGGAGTTTGCTCTGGCCGGAATCGGGCATCCATTGATTTGCTGTTATTAAAACCAGAGCTGCTGTCGGGAACTCTGTAGCCTGGCTGCCCTCGCGTGTGCTTCCTGGAAAGGGCCATCCTGCGTGCCTTCGCCGGTGGGGGACAGTCCCCTCAAAGCACCTGGCCGCGGCACTGGCCCACGCCGGGTTCGGGTGGCAGCTGGGGCACGAGAGGCTCCCGCGGGGATGGGAGCTGGGGAGTCAATTCTGTGCTTGGCGCCGACCTCTCCGCTGCCCAGCGGCTCTCAGCCCCCCGCCACCCCAGGCCCTCCTCAGCTCGCCCAGCACCCCCAGTGCTGCCCACGGGGCTCAGGGCGGCCCCGTCACCCCGCAGCGGGTGCTGGTGGCGGCAAGGGCGCAGTGGCACTCACTGCCCCTTTCTTCGTCTGCTGGGCTGAAGAGGGTTTACTGGAGAGGCAAAGTCATCGCTTCCAGTGGCGGATGAATCACCCCTGTCAGGAATTCTGCCCGGGGGCTTTTCTGTAAGAGCGTGGAATTTCGACACGATGGAGGGCCGCCGCTGCCGTGCCCTCCCAGCCCTGTGGGTCCCTCCTCCTTGCACAACCTCCCGCCGGGGTTCCTGTTCCCAGCCCTGGCCCCGCAGCTGCAGCAGCTGCCGAGGGGCCCCAGCCACAGGCACCCCGGCACGGGTGGTCCCAGCCCACGGCAAGGAGCGGGGCCCTGGAAGCCGCTGGAGCCAGCTAGGGGGTCAGGATGACCCCGGGTTCCCAGCGTGGCGTAGGTGCCCACAGCCACAGAGCTGCGCACCCCGGTGTCCCGCATGGCTGCCCCAGCCATAAGCAGGTCCCTGTGGGGCCGTGGGCTTGCCGGTGCCGCCTGTGCTCAGCACCGCGTGGCCAAGGCTGCTGGCAGGCTGTCTCCGTGGCAGTCGTCTGTGGTTGGGAGCCCCCAGCTGCATTCGCACCCACAAGCAGGTGCCGACAGAGGGGAAGTGGCGGGTCCCAGCCAAAGTGGGTGCACCGTCTCAGCAGCAGCACCTTCCCTCTGCCCCAACCGGGCACATCCCGCCCCCATTAGCGCTGGTGGCACCCCAGACCGACGGGAGCGGAGTGGGGGATGCCGGCGGGGCAGAGGTGTGCAGCCACGGATGGAGGGGCAGCTCCCGGCAGACACCCGCCCAATGCTCCCGCCACCATCCTGGTGCCATCCTGCTGCGGGGTCACGGCAGGGGGACACTGCTGACTTGGGGGGACACCACCGGCCTGGGGGCTGCCCCGGCATGGGCTGCTGCAGCCTCTGGGCCAGGCTACGGCTGGAGGGGAGGCAGGGAGGGGGCCAGGGGCTGGGGCTTTCCCGGCAGCCAGCAGTGATCCCACAGGAGCCCAGCCGGTTGGTGGGGCCATGCCGGGGCTGGGGTTTCTCTCAGTTTTCACATGCTGCATAAACTCTCTTTCAGAGTGAGAGCAGAGGGGTTTCATGATAAGGGGAGAAGCACACTCAGAGCAGGAACTGAAATGTCACTTTTGAGACTGGTGGCTCTTCCCCAAGCCAGCCACCCGGCACAGCTTCGCCGCTCTCCTGGCAGCATTGCAGTAAAGGAGGCTGCTGGAGCAGGGGCTGGCCCTACCGCACGCCCAGCCTAGCCCGCCAGAACCTGGCGTATGCTCCAGCTGTGCACACAGCGTGGCCCCGCTCTCTCCAGCATCCTGCTGCGGCCCCCGCCTGCACAGGCTCGTCCCACGTCCCACCATGACGGCCTCTGCAAAGCCTCAGCCCCGCCGATCCCCGTGGCCAGGGCAGAGCTGAGCCCAGCCCCGCAGCCTCCTCCTTCGCTCAAAACCTCTGCTGCCCAACCAGCCCGCCCCCCCTTGGGGGCTCTGCCTCAGGCTCTACCAGCATGCCAGGGCTGGCCATGGGGGCCAGAGCAGGGGGACATGGCGGCCAGCATGCAGGAGAGGTGAGGGGGCTCAGACAAACCCACCAGGCAGACGAAGCTGGCAGGAGCCCCTGCAAGTGAAAGTGAGCCCCAGCCCAGTCTGCGGCCGCGGCAGCTGCACCGCGGTGAGCACGGTGTGGCGGGGATGGTGCTGGTTCCCCACACACACTGTGCCGCAGGCAAGGTGAGCAAACAGCCTGGCTGCCCCCAGCCCCACAGGACCCATGCTGGTGAGGCAAGCGCATCATTGTGGGAAACCAGAGATAACAGGTCCCACTTCCTGGCGCCTCCTTTCCTGGACACAGGGCTGCCGGGAGCAAAACGCACAAGAGCCCATTCCCAGGAGGCCCTTCTTGATGCGAATCTCCTCCGTGCCCCACTCTGGGCATCCCAGTGAGGCTCCCGGCCAGGCTCAGCCCCACACGGCCAGTGTCCCTGGTAGGGAAGGGACAGCCGCTCCAGGCAGGGCAGCACAGCACTATGTGGGGGTCACAGGGCTCGCAGCCTTTGCAGCCTCCCTGCGCCAGTCGGGCACATCTGCTGCAGGCAGCTTCGGTGCGATGGGCCCACGTGCAGGCCCTGCCACCACTGCGTTGCTTCCCGGCAGGGGCCAGCCGCCGTGCGGTAGCCACCAGCCACAGCTGCAGCGATGCTTCCCGGAGGGCTGGGTAATTTGCCTGCCCTGCTTTGCATGCCTGAGGCTACCCCGGGGGCAGGGGGATGAAGGGTGTGCAGCACGCCTGGTATGGTGGGCACAGCCGTGGCCCCCAACCCAAGGCAGGACAGGCAGGGGGGCAAAGCCACCCCCGGTCCAGCACACTGAGCACCCAACAGCCTCTCCGTGTCTGGAGGAAGGGAGGTGGGGGATGTGGGGATGGATCAGGACACCGGCTGTGGGAAGCTGCTTTATTTTGCTTTACACTTTCTGCCATTCCTGGAAACAAACAGCTGGAGGGGCCACTCTGACCTGCCTGCTGGGAAGCAGCCTTGGCCCCCTTGGCCCCCTTGGCCTCTGCCCCTCTCTGCCCTGCCAGGATGCTCCATGCCCAGGGGCTGCCTGCAACTCCCTGAGGAGCCGCTCCTCGCCCAGAGGGTCTCACACGCTGTGGCTGCCGAGCCCAGCCTGCCCCTGAACTCATCCAACCGCCCTGAAACCTGGGGGGATGTTCATGCCTCAGTGTCACAAAGCAACCCCAGCCCCACTGGCTGGGACCGCTGCACTCGGGCCCCCTTCTGCTGCATGCAGCACTCACGAACCCCGTGGGCTGCGATCCCGTGCACGGAAGCTGAGCAGCTCCATCCCAACCCTGAGCCGCCTGCGGGCTGCGGTCCTGCACACCGAGGCTGAGCAGCTCCATCCCAGCAAGCCCCACGCATTAGCACCAGGTTGATTTATAGAAATCCGATGGCTGGGGCTGCCAGTGCCTCCTGCCAAACCTCATTAACGGCTGGCCTGGGAGCAAGGCAAACAGCTCGTGCAGCAACAAGGAAATCCTTGTTTAAGCATTTCTGGCCATGCAGGGCCCTTCCCCTCACACCCAGGGGAGGGGGAGGAGGAGGAGGGGGGTGGTGGTGATGGTGCAGGCCACAAGCCCCAGGCTGGCACCACCTTGGCAGCCACAAGGAAGGAGATGCAAGGGGACATAGTGGGGTCTGCACAGGGAGAGAGCCCCCAGGATGGGCTGTGAGCCGGGAGGGAGCGGGAAGCCACAGAGGCACGGTGCGGGGCAGAGGGTTCCCACGCTGCAGCACCGAGGTCTGCCCTCCTTGCGCCACCACAGCAGCGCTACTAAACCATGGGGACACAGGGACACCAGGGTGCCAGCAATGGGTGACCAAAGGCTGGCTCAGAAGGGCACTGCTGCTCAGCTGACAGCTTCAGGCAGCTGAAGGGCTTCGTGGCTCACTCCTGCCCCTCTGTCTGGGGCCACCGGCTGGCCCCCTGTGCTGTGCCATGCTGTGCCGTGCCGTGCCGTGCCATGCCATGCCGTAGGGCAGAGCTCTGCCAGGGCTGGCCGAGGCTGTCCCAGAGGGATTCACCAGTCCACCCTGCACAGAGCAGCCTGGAGGGAGCTGGGGTAGGATCCTGCCTGCCCCTCGGTGCCCCCTGCTCCCACCCACACTGGGTTCCCAGCACAAAGCACTGTCTGTGGGCACAGTGAGCTCTGGGCACACGGAGCTGCTGGGAGGCCGTGGGAGCTGGTGATGGCATGCCTGCCCTGCGGCAGGCATGGGGCACCAGCATGGCTGGCCCGCAGACCTGGCACCGGTGAGCTCCAAAGCAGCCTCAGCGACCTGCATCCGCCTGCCCCACATGTGGCTCAGGATCTATTTCATCATCTGGAGAAAAGCATTTACTGCCAATAAACGGGCTAATTAATTCTCCTCAAAGACCTCTCAATTATTCATCTCAGGCCACAGAGAAAACAATTACAGCACTTACCTCAGCCCTGGCTCGGCCAGTGCAGCAGCCAGCATGGGGCCACGGCTGGCGGCAGGCAGGGCACAGCCGGGGCCGGCCCGGCACAGCTGCCATCACAGAGCCCCAGCTCCTGGTGCCTGGCCAGCCCCGGCTTTGCCCACCCCGCAGGAGCAGCCCTGTGGAGCTCTGGGGAAGGGCTGCTGAGCTAGCAAAGCCACCCAGCCCAGACCCATCACCAGCAGCAGTGCTCTCCCAGGGTGACCCCGAGAGCTTCTCGCAGCACTAGGGCTCAGGAGCAAGGGGACCTACCCGGCCTCCTGCACCGCTTCTTGCCGCATGGGTCTAACCCCAATCTGCCCACGTGGAGCCAGAGCCGCTGCATCCCATCCACCGAGGACATGGGAGCAGTTTGCTCCCTCCTCACCACCCACCTGCAGTGGTCTCCTCTCCCCATCTTTGTCGAGCAGCCCAGCCGCTCTCCCCGCCTCCACCGAAGGACACGCACCTTCAAGCCGTAGCCAGACCCAGCCGTGGGTGCCCACTGCAAGCAGGGGCTCAGGCTGCATGCCCCAAGAGCTGGCTCCCAGCACCGCCCAGCCCGGCGCAGCCCATTGCTCCTGCTGGGCTGGGGCTCGGCAGGACCCCATCCCACCTGAGGCCACCCAGGGGCCAGGCTGTGCTGGGGTCCCCCTTGGAGAGGGGCTTTTTTCCCAGATTGTTCTCCAGCTCCTTGGCCCTTGGGATGCTCCTTCTGCCCCACAGCGGGGTTGAGCCCCTGCTCCCTCTGCATCAGCTGCACCTCGAGAAGGAAAACCCACTGCACTGCTGGCACTGTGAGCTCGGGGGTCCCTTCCCGTGGTCCAGCCGGACCACCCCCGCGCAGGATGCGGGCGCAAAAGCCTCCCGGGGCCGGGGTCCGTGTCAGCCCTCTCCCACTCACCTCCCCCGTGCACGGCGGGTCGGGCTGCTCTAGCACTGCCGTCCCGCCGCCCCCCGGGA